AATTTGGCATTTTCTGAGCAAATCTCAGTTATAAGTCAAAAAAGGAACTATTTTGGATTGAGTCACTATAATGGATCGAAACCGACTGAAACATGAAACACTGGCGACTATTAATTTTCATTTTTTCGAACAAATTTTGCTGTCAATAGATTATGTTATCTTAATGTTTTGAAGATTTGATGTTAATGAGCGAACTATAACAAAGCCTTCTGTAATAATACTTCAAAACTAAGTTCCTTAGTCAATGGAGTGAATAGAAACTGAGAAGATTTATACCCACCTAATAGCTATTATATTATTCTAGTGTACAACTCCTCTATGAACACTGTTACAGTGAACGTTTTTCACTTTAAACAAATCATTATTCGTGGAAATAGAATGACTACGTTCGAAATCTAACTAGCAAGTATGTTATTCATCATCATCAACCCATTTCTGCGTCCCACTGCTGGGCACGGGTCTCCTTTCAGGCGAGGCTTCAGGCCTTAGTCCGCCATGCAGGCCCAATGTGACCAAGGCCAAATCATCGTGAAGTCCCCAAGACTTCACGATGGTTTTTTTCCTTTAAATTTGGAGAAACATAGAGGTGGGAGGCCGAATTCGAAGCCACGGCCTCTGCTGGAGAGACGATAGGTCAAACCATTAAGCTGCCAAGACTTTTATGAAATCTTAGAGGTATATAATTATTTTCGTTAAAAATATTTAAAGTAATAATAATAATAATATATATAATATATAATAACGCACACACTCAACATAGCCCCGCACTAGGGAAACCCTGTGTCGCGGGTGCCATGGACACACACATAGACAACCACAAATTACACCCAAACTCACGAGAGAAATAAATGTAGGTCATACAAATATTTCTCCCGGCCCGGGAATCGAACCTGGGACTTCTGCGTGGCAGTCCGGCATGGTAACCGTTCGGCCACGGAGGCAGTTTTTATAATTTAATAGTCTGCAAGATAACGGAATTCCCGGTACTTTGACTACCAGAGAACATCCGGACCAGACCTTATTCTCCAAAAGTCCGTCCGGGAATCGAAGCCGAAACCTCCTCATCCAGTGCCCACAATGCAACAACCACATTGGGCCACCGAGGTCGTCAATAATATAACTTGTGAACGTTCATGCACCCTTTTTAAGTATTAAAAGTTTTTTGCAGTAGGGTTTGTTAAATGTGTAACAAAATCTACGTGACGTAATTAAGAGTTGCTTGTTACCTAGTTACAAAATAAATTGAGCCAATTACAGGTTGAACGTAACATCAGTGTCTGTCAAGCGGTAACTAGGGTAAAACTCTAGTTAGATAGGCTTTACTCAAGCTGCGAAGTAAATATTTAGATTATTTTACTCTACTAACTAGTAAAAACCTCTTTTATTGTTTCTTTTGTCATACGTTTATGAGCTACATTCCCATCATCATCATCATCATCATCATCGTAATCAACCTATTTATACGTTTCACTGCTGAGCATGGGTCTTCGCTCAGGCGACGGTTTAGGCCATAGTCCGCCACGCTGGCTCAATGCGGGTTTGGGACTTCAAACCTTTTCCGTGGATTGTGAATCTTCTTCGACGGGCAGATTATATCACATGTTTTCTATCACCGAAAATCTCATAATAAATTTCGCACATAAACGCCGAGAAACTCAGAAGTGTGAGCCCGGACTCAGACCTTCGGCTTGCGCTACTTCAAACCACGGCTGTGATTACATCATGAAGATATTTAATAATAACGCACACACTCAACATAGCCCCGCGCTAGGGAAACCCTGTGTCGCGGGTTCCATGGACACACACATGGACCACCACAAATTACTCCCAAACTCACGAGAGAAATAAATGTAGGCCATACAAACTCTCTCCCGGCCCGGGAATCGAACCTGGGACCTCCGCGTGGCAGTCCGGCATGGTAACCGTTCGGCCACGGAGGCAGTTATTATTACATCATATTAGATGAAAATACTGTCGGTAATTCGATCGAATTGCGCGACTGCTTCGCTATTGCATGCCTATTGTACGGGTGTAGTTGGTATGCAGTTGTCAAAACTATGAGTAAAGTGAAATTTACCTTTAACAACTCAACTAAAAATTTGCCGAAAAATAAAAATATTAAATACAAATTGTATTTTTGCTTAATAAATTCAAGAGCAAGACTTCCATTGTTTTAGTGACAATATGACGGTGTTGCCATGTAACATTGATACCAGTCGGAAATTGACGAACTTTGTTCAAATTAAACAAAACTCTTAACGTCAATAAGCAAGAAATTTCTACAAAACGTTTAAAAGTATGAAGCAAATTTCACCAGTAAAGACGTGTCACTTTATTCGCTTACGTTAACGTGGCAGGTATTCGCGTATATTACCCGTGACGTCGTCACTCTGAAAGCGCTAGGAAAGAGCACGTTGTCTCTTAAACTATATTAGCGCTTCGGCACTCGTGCCTTTGCTATCTTTAGTCTTAAGGATGGCATCACCGTCATGAAGAATTTGCATCTATAGTTTGTCTATTGAAGATGGAGTAAAATGATATTTCTAATGTTGCCAGTTTCCATAAAATTTTTAATAGTTATATAGTTGTTGTCGATGGTTTTATCGATAGATTGACAAATAACTGAATTGTGAATATTACGACGTTTTAACGATTACTAATTGCGTTATTCTTATTTTGACAGTTGACCTACTAGTGCCGAGATTAATTTTTATTCATATACATTTCAACAAGAATAGCCGAATTTGATTAGGTACCTTTATTGAATTAAAATGAAAAAATTTAAAATATGTCTCCTCTTTGTATTTTTCATGAACATAGTTTTAAATACCGTATATGTATGTAAAATAAACTTACAAAAATTGACAATTCAAATGAACTTTTGCTCAGCAATTGGACGAATAATGGGTCGAGGATGTTTCGAATGAAACAAGTTCGGCTATTTATTCCATAAGCGTGACCGATATTTACCGACATATATTATATTTATCGACGGAATATTTATCGACAGCAATTGGTAGCTCGCAAGTGGGTAACACTTTTGCGCAATGAACTGTCATTTCACTCCATATTCAAAAAAGACAGATTGTACATTAAGAAATGAGGTAGAGCTCTTTGTGAAAGAGTTCGTCCAGTGAAGTACTGCCACCTTACCTATTCTTGTCGCCATGAATGTAAGCATTATTGCGTTCCGATTTTGAAAAGTAAAGGTGTTGGTGAAATTACTGTCATATGAGACTTTACAACTTATGTCTCAGGGTAACAGGCGCTGTGGCAGTGGCCACTCAGATCTTTGTGATTTAAAGCTCTGAGCTCTGATTGCAACCGCTATGGACAGGCGTGTTGCTTACTACCGGGCACACGACTTGTCCGTCCCGTCACTTGGTATATTAAAATACCCGCACAGTCTGACGTTGGGGATTAAAAGATCGATTCCAGAAACAACAGATATTCGTTTTTTAAATGAATTATTTCCATTCCTTAATGCGTTCGAATTTGTTTTTGTACTTTCAGGAAAAAGAAAATAAAATCTTAGCTTCATATTCGAGTTTAATAATCGTTTTTTTAAAAACAAAGTTTGTATGACTTGAAACTTGTGACAGAACTCTTAACGATGGATTTCAATAATCGATTTGGGTTTGCCAGCCCTATTTTAGCTACCTCTGATAAAGGAAGAAAGCTTTTGTTAAATTTGTCTCAAGAATTCTCTTTTATAATAAACAAAGCTTTCTCGTATGTTGTACTGAATACTTTATGGTTTATTTCGACAATTTTATTTTCAATGCTTTGTTTAATGCATGCTTTGTTAAATTTCTTTGATGTTTTCCTTGCAATAGAATAAAAGGGAATTGGGTGATTAATTTCTGTGACCAATATAATATATCATAGAAGGTTTTAAAATTAGGTAATCGTTTACATATCGATCAATTCATTTGTAACGTGACAATAAAAGCTATGAATGAGTTACTATCGTAGTTAGAAACACCGCATAGACCGTCAGAACTCATATAACATGGTCGATAAAACCGTTTAATGTATAGACATTAACAGCTTTTTGTTAAATTTTAAATAGCTGCGGCTTGGCTTAAATAAAGGCGGAAAACATACATATTGCTTTTGCGGGCTGGTAGCTATACCATTCTCACTCAACGCCTACATAGCTCCAAAGCTGCGGCATGCGACGATTATGTGTGGAGTATCAGCGATTTTCATAAAGCTGTCCCACTGTGGCAAAGCGCGTGTGTATTTTGTTTTTAAAAGCGTTCAAAATTTTGATAACAAAATGTAAATTCACCTACTCAGACGCAGCGAATTGTTTCCAAAGCTGGTTAATGCGATTATACATTCCCTTGAGAAATTTGCAAAGTCTTACATATAGTATAATGTTATAGTATGTTCGGACGTAAATGAGGGACTATGTACTTTGTTGCAGGTGGTCGTTTTGTCCTCGAGCGAGCACCGTTGCTAAAAGAGTACTGAATTATTCATCGGCATATTTCAACGCGGTCGAAACGCCAGCCCGTGTGTGTACCGTATACTATACACATCACCTTAATGTAGGAAAGATTACCGTGATCATTCCTGGCTAATGGACTCACATCATAAAATTGAACTATTACTTAAACATAACATTAGTTAACAAATCGATCCAATGAGAGTAATATACTTTGGATTTGTTCATTGAACGATTGGAACTAAAAGTTACGAATTGAATTCTAATTAGATTCGGAAATAATCCATCAGTACTAATAGAAAACCTTCAATGCGGCAAAAAATATAGTAGTAATGAAAGTCGATTCCAAGAACTTTAGTGTAACGTAATTAATTGAAACTAGTGCTGAATTTAATTTGATGAAAAGGCAACGCGGCAAAATCAGTTGCGTTTTGAAAAGTAAGAAAGACTAGGGTATATATATATATATATAAGCGTAGTTACAGTTAGTTCTTGGCCAAAGAAATATTTAAAATTTAGATTAAATAACGTGGATAAGAGTACAGCCATGCAGTTCCTGCCGAGTCTACTATTCATGCTGTCTGCGACACTGGTGCGCGGTACTGGAGAATGGAGTGAAGATGCCGAAGATTTAGGTGAGTAATTTTGAAGATGTTTGTTTGTTGTTTGTACAAAAACTCGGGTGTCCCGTAGACAAATTGTAAGCGATTTAGAAGCCAGACGAGCAAAAAACCAATAATTTGTTTGGTTTTTGTGTTTATATTATGATTTTCTGCTATGTGTTTACGGATGCTTGGACAAACACGATTTATCATAAATAAATAATACATTATTGTCGTTATCTCAACAAAAATATTGTTTGGGATAAAAGTCTTTTGTAAACTAATTATAAAGGATGATGTCATGTAGGAAGTATGTCTAAACACACCAGTGCCTTACTGGCTAGATTATCAGTCTGTAAACATTTTAGTGCCATGAATACTCTTGCATGGCTAGCACGACAGGGCACGACTTGCGCGAGAGCGAAACAGAAGCGCGAGATAATAATATTTTCTAGTAATGTTTTGCGCTTTGTATCGCTCTCGCGCAAGTCGCGCCGTGTTGTGCTAGTCATACCTACAGGAGTATTCATGGCACTAAAATGTTTGCAGACTGATATATCTTAGAGTTACCTACTTGAGAAAGAATATCGTCGCCTTCCTTTCTCAAACTCGTATCTTATAAAGAGTGATTATTCAGGAGATGACAAAACTTTCTATTTATTTAAAATTTCTTATCAAGGGTGCTAATTTTGATGCATTCTTTACGAATGGGTATAAGCTAGTGTGTAAATATGAAGGAAATGTGATGTGAAATCAGCTTGCAACATTGTATATACAATCCATTTTTGCATTTCAGTAACTTTGCGCTTTAAGATACGAGTTTGAGAAAGCAAGGCGACGATATGTCAAAAGGTCTTAAGGAAAAAAATCATATTTTTAGAACGTAGATTTTACTTTAATTTGACGTACATTTATAAAGTGAAATAGAGTTGCCAAAAGTCAATAATGTATTTATTGTCTGTGGTTAGAAAGGTTAAATGTTGAGGCGGGTTCATACAGACAAGGCAATTGCCTCGCGAGACCGTTCGCTTGGTTTGCATTGCCTTTTAAAAATCCTTAAGATTTTTTTCGCGACCATAGCAAAAGTATCTTTTATTTCACGTGAAAATAAAAAAAATGTCAGTGCTTTTAATCTTTTTAACCTTTATAAACTTTTAATTTTATATATTAATTATAAAAAGTCATTATTATAGTATATATTAATTTTGAAAATGTTTTGAAATACGAGTACCATTCAATGGTTTATATTTTATATCGATAAAAAAAGCGTTTCTTGTTTATTTATATACAATTATTGTTTTACTTTATGACTATTTTCAACATTTGTTGTAAAAAATTTGTAACTAATTATAGTAGGTAATTTATTTTTTTTACACATTATGCATGTGACATAAAAGCTTTTTGTGAGAAAAGTAGAATAAGTATTCTAAGGCTGAGATTTATAAAACAAAGTTTGGTTTCGTATGAGCAAAAAGGCAGGACCTAAGCAAATTTTTCGTATTTACGAAATGAACTTTACAAACGCAACTAAATTGAACTTTGAATTTACTCCGTATTTTCTCGCTTAAAGTTAAGCAAAACTCGTTGGGTAAATGCAAAAAATTAGCTCAGCTTGCAATTTTTTGCTTTGACTTCGGAAAGGTCGTTTTATAAATCTCAAGTTATTTTAACTTAAAATTTAAATTTAAATTCGATTATTTATTGCTTTAAATATAAATGTATGTACTCATCCAAATTAACAATTATAAACGTGAAAGTAACTCTTTCACTCTGTTACGTTTTCAATACAGTACAGTACAGTACAGTACAGTACAGTACAGTACAGTACAGTA